CGTCGCCGACCATCACCGCCGCGACAAACGGCACGGCAACGAGCAACAGTGAGACTAGGAGCGCGACGTCGATGAGAACCACGGGCTCCAGCACAACGGAGTCGATGGGCACTTCGCTGACCAGCGCCACTGCGACAAGCAGCACGGCAACGATCACAACAGAGAGTCGCGCAGCACGACGTTGCTGAGCACACCAGGGCCCAGTTGCGCTGGCTCGGCTCCAGCTCAACGGGTTCGCGCGGCACGTCGCTAACCAGCGCCATTGTGACAAGCAGCACGGCAACGTGGCCTGGCACTCTCACATCAGCCAGCTGGGGCGCTCCAGCGCACAGGGTGCATAGTCGGTAAGAGCGCGTCGCTTTCCACGGGAGCTTAGTTGGCACAGTCAGGGTTGGCATAGCCAGGGTTGGCACAGCCATGGTTGGCATAGTCAGCGCGGTCGGAGTTGGCACAGCCACGATTGGCATAGTCAGCAAGAACTGCTCGAGCAAATGTTATACCATTCTTCTCCTCTCCACTCCCACCGTCTGCCTGGCGTGCACTCTCACACCGTGTGCCCGCACCGTGCGCCTGGCGTGCACTTCCTCTCCTTCCCTCCTGCATCCTAGTACTGCAGCGAGTAGCTGCCACGCCGGGGTGCCTACTGCGCCTGGCGTGCACTTCCCCGCATCTCCTTTGTTTCATCGGGTTTATCCCGCGCGGCTGGGGTTGCCGCCGATACCGTTGTCTGATGGTGCTCTGACAGCTTGAATTCCGTGCAAGGATCACACTGGGGATGGGCGGTCAGGTGCCCCTTGGCTTGCTCCTGGCTGGTGTCTGCCCCCACTGATGGCCGAAAGGGCTCAGTGGGTTCTCGCTGCGCTCCGACCTCTACGGTGCGACACGACCCTTGGAAACACCCAGCCGCTTCGGATTCCAACAGACTCTGCGACGGTCAGTCGCCTCCACTGCGAAAAGAGCGAAGATAATCGCGAGTCGCAGGAGGAAGGGGGGGCCCCCGCTGGGGAGGAGCTTAGTTGGCACAGTCAAGGTTGGCATAGCCAGGGGTGACACAGTCATGGTTGGCATAGTCAGCGCGGTCGGAAATGGCACAGCCACGATTGGCATAGTCAGCAACAACTGCTCGAGTAAATGTTCTACCATTGTCCTCCTTTCCTCTCACACCGCGTGCCTCCCGTGCACTTCCTTTCCTCCCCTCCTGCTGCCGCGCCGGGGTGCCTACCGTGCTTGGCGTGCATTTCCCCTCCTCTTCTTTTGCTTCACCGGGTTTATCCCACGCGGCTGGGGTTGCCGCTAATACCGCTGTCTGATGGTGTTGTCACAGCCTGAAACTGAGTTGGCACTGTCAGGATTGGCATCGCCAGGGTTGGCACAGTCACAGTTGGCATAGTCAGCGCGGTCGGTGATGGCACAGCCACGACTGGCATAGTCAGCAACAACTGCTCGAGTAAATGTTCTACCGTTATCCTCCTCTCCTCTCCCACCGTCTGCCTGGCGTGCACTCTCACACCGTGTGCCTGGCGTGCACTTCCTTCCCTCCCCTCCTGCATCCTAATTCTGCAGCGGTTAGCTGCCGCACCGGGGTGCCTACAGTGCGTGGCGTGCATTGCCCCTCCTCTCCTCCCGCCTGTGCCTGGCGTGCACTTCCTTCCCAACACAACCCACTGGCAACCCGACCCCTGGGGGTGCCCAGCCGCGTCGGATTCCAACGGGTTCTTCGATGGCTAGTCACCTACACCGGGAAGAGTGCGAAATGGGTCGCGAGCCGCAATAAAAGGGGCAGGGAGAAGACACAGAGGGCTTTGACGGCCGTCCAACACAACCCACCAAAAACCCACTGGCGCCACGACCCCTGGGAACACCCAGCCGCTTCGGATTCCAACAGATTCTGCGACCGCCAATCGCTTCCATTGGGAAGAGTGCGACGATAGTCGCGAGTCGCAGGAGGAAGGGGGGCCCCCCGTTGGGGAGGTTTAATTGGCACAGCCAGGGTTGGCACAGTCATGTTTGGCATAGTCAGCGCGGTCGGAAACAGCGCAGCCACGATTGGCATAGCCAGCAACAACTGCTCGAGTGAATGTTATACAATTGTCCTCCTCCCCTCTCACACCTGGCAACGCGACTTCTGGGGAGAACACCCAGCCGCCTCGGTTTCCAATAGCCTCTGCGAGGGGCAGGGGGCCGACAGAGGAAACCCTGTTGACCGTCCAACACAACCCATTGGCAACGCGACCCCTGGAGATACCAAGCCGCCTCGGATTCCAAGGGGTTTTGCGACGGCTACTCTCCAACACCGGGATGAGTGCGAAGTGGGTCGCGAGCCGCAGGAGAAGGGGCAGGGAGAAGACCGAGAGGACCGTAGCCATTCTGGCTCAAGCCATTTTGGCTCAAGGAGGAGGGATCAAGGGATCACCCGCGCGCGACCGGCCGCCCCTACCCAGGATCACGTTCTGTTCTGATTGCGGTAAGAAGAAGGAGGGGCCATGAGCCGAGCGCGTCTGCCGGCGCTCCCGCAGCCGCGGTCGTGACAACAAGGATGAGGCGCCCACGGACAACGTCAAGCAGATGTTGGAACCGATTAGGGAGATGCTCCAAGAAGAGTTGAATGCGGCGCTCGGACCAGTCAAAGAAAAGGTCGACAAGCTCGAGGTTGACACGCGCAAGGTCGAGGATCGCACCGAGAATCTCGAGCAGCGCGTTCAGGCATTAGAGCAAAAAGGATCTTCGTCGGGTGGGTCATCTAATGGCTTCGTTCCGACATATTTGGAGATCAAGAATTTCTGCGATTACGACGAGACGCACGGAGGGCATCGTTAGACCAGAAGCAGCGGAGTTCATGAACAACGCCATTCAAGCCCTTCCAGCTGAGCTGCGTCCGGTAGTAGGTGAGTTCCAGTTGGCCCGGCCCAAGAATCACAAAATCAAAGTTCCCAGTAAGGACTCGCACCATTGGGAGGACATTAAAAACTATTGGAAAGAAACGTTCAAAACGGCACCTTACAAGGGACGAGACATCTACGTCACCGAGGAAAGGGAGATGCACGTCCAGAAGCGCTACAGGTGGGCAAAATCCGGGCTTTTTGTCACGAAGTTCGACAACAGAGACGGCTTCAATCCAAAGGCATATTGGGATCCAGATTTCGCGGTGTACTTGGAGATGGGGGAGGAAACGGCATGCGTGGCCGCCGTGGCCGCAACCGGGAAGGCGACTTGGGCCATGGAGGTGTTGACGAAATTCACATCCCCAACACGGAGGCGGCTGACTCTCAGTTGGCGGCGTTCCGCCAGAACTAGGACCCCCCCGAGAGACTGCATGCGAAGCGCGCAGAAGACGTGCTTCAAGTTTTGAGTTGGAACGTCTGCCGGAAGGTTTCGTCCAAGATCGATCCGATGACGTCGGCTCTCAAATCTCTTGGCTGGGCCTCTGCGGTTGTATGTCTCCAAGAAATACCGAATTGGGTCACGGGGCAACGATGCAATGGTTTCGCTTTGCACACAGGTAAACGCCAGCTCGTTTATAATATTGGGGAGGGGACTACCAATCAGCCGAAAACTGATTGTGGGTTTTTGATTCCAACGGACCTCGAACCAGAGATCCGCATGGAGAAGCACGGGTACTATTGGTCTGGAGCTTTGATCGGCAATGTAATTTTTCTCAGCGCCCATTTCCTCGACCACCTCGCGGAAAGCGGCAAGACTTCCGAAGTCATCGCTGGGACAGTTGAATTCACGCATGCATGTAATTGAAAGTATCCAAATGCAGATTTCTAAATTGTTGCAGGGATGGATGCGAATGTAACTCTCTCCAAGAATATCCACGGCATCACCAGATCATGCACGGCACGTAGGCTAAAATCACATTCCGCCGCTATGGAGCATGTCATCACGAGTTGGATGGGCAGTCTGGATATACGCGCATTAAATACGTATGGGAATGTACAGGATCACGAGGTTTCTGGACCTGCGGGCGGAAAAGGGCATCATCGAAGAGATCTCAAATTGACTTCATCGCCGTGTCCGGCGGCATCGGAGGCTCTGCAGCCGCTGTCAGGGACGAGCACCAAGCCCTTCGACGAGGATTTGATCACCGGCCAGTTATTGCTGACCTTTTTCTTCCTCCTCGCCTCCTCCTCCTTCCTTCGGCCCCTAAGGATTCTCTTTTGGGTGGACTCCCAAATCAGACGCTGATTTGTCAGACTTCCATAACGCATGTATTGATGCCGACTTCTTACGTAGTTCTCTGACGGACTTGGAAGATAGGGCGAGGAAGCTTGCGATGAGGATTCCCCACCACGCGTCGACGCGCTCAGCGCGAAAACCTGCGGTGAGCTCACGCGACGACGACACGCATAGATCAGCCAAGTCTGCGTTACGACAGGCACCTGAAGACGCAGTGGAGCAGCGCGCCCGAGAATTCCGGAGGGCGCGGCGAGGGAAACTCAGGAGACGGAATGCTGACAGACTTCGGTCTCTACGCCGGCAACGCCATCACATCGTCGCTGTTCCTGTGGAGTTTCGCATTGGCGACGAAATTGTTCAAGACAGACGTGGTTGGTTACAGGGGGTCCGCGATTTCGGCATGGATCGATTTACAGACCCAGGGGAGCCCATCGACAAACAGTTGCACATATTGGGCCAATACGCGGGGTCTTACAGGGCAGACAAATTGGACGGACAGGGGAAAATTGAGGTGGAGTATTTCGACGTTCTTCAAGCCAGGGCTCAGCTCCCGACTCAATCGGCCGCTGGACCAGACGGCGTTCCTTCGGAAGTTTGGAAAACAGTTCCTGCGACAACTGCGTTAGCCATCTGGAGATTATTTCAGCAGCGTGCCGATTTTTCTCGATGCTGGCGACTCTCCGCATTGGAAAATATTTCAATTCACCGGTATTCCGAAGATACGGTTTGCCAAGTTGTTTAGCGAAATGCGCTGGATAGGAAAATCGTCGACACTGCAGAAATGGTTCCTCAGAGCCTTGCGGCCGCAGTTGCGCGATCAGCTTCAGCCGACGCCGGTGCGCGCGTACGGCTTCAAGACCGGGGTATGCGTTGATGATGTCGTGGGATTGGTGCGGCAAATCCTATTTCTCGCAGACTCCTGGGGATTTGAGGCGCACGTCTGCGTCCAGGACGTTTTGACCGCATTCGACTCCATGCCGCGCGAGAGCACCTTCGACGCCATGCGGCGCAGGGGCGTTCGGCCAGGTCTTGTTGGGCACTGCGTTCGCGAACGCACTGGTGCACAGGCGACGATATCTCTCCCAGGAGCTGGCGATTGCGAACCTTTTCCATTTACCCGCGGAGGCAAGCAGGGAGGGGCGGAGACGACTGAATGGAACGCTCTGTTGGAAACCATAGTCGAGCCAGTTCTCAGAGAGTGGATGCGGAACGGCTGGGGCATCACTTTCGACGGGTACCTCGTCAATCACGCTATTTGGGCCGATAACATCATTTTGATTGCATCGTCTGCGCTACAACCCCAAAGCATGGCGCAGGACCTCACCACCGCTCTGCATACTGCAAACATGGCATGGAAGAAGACTTCTCTTCAGTATATGGCTGGAGGGTCCGCCAGAGGGATTCCGACGGTGAACATGCAGGTACATGTTGGGGAGGAGCTCCTCGTTTACGAACGGGCCCATGAATTATTACTTCTCGGAGTTCTCTTGGACGAGCGTGGCCAGACACAGGCCAGCACGGAACATCGCATTTGCGCGGCCACAGGGCTATTCTACAAGAACAAAGTTGCACTGCAAACGCCTGGCAACCTCCTCGAGCGCATCCGGGCATGGCGCACGCTCTGCGGGGCATCGGTCACGCATGGAGCTTGCAATTGGCACCTCGACCAAAGAGTTTTGAAGCGGCTCCGAACTTGGGAGTTGCAAGTGCTACGTTCCATGCTGAAGATGCGCCGGCGGCCTCATGAGAACCAGAAGGCGTACAATCAACGCGCGGCGGCGCAAATTTACGCTTGGTTTGGCAAAGTGAGCGCCTTGATGATCCACCACCGGGCCCTCCGCATCGTGCGTCGTTCAGCTTGAAGGGAAAAGCGCGGGCCGAGCATTGGTCTAAAGGAGAATCGATTGAAACGTGTTCGGGCATATCAGCACGCACTCTGGTGGCAAGCGGTTTTGGCATTCCCACGGGAGTTGAGATGGGGAACCGATTGTGCTCATCGCACTAGTGGGCACAAGTGTGCTTGGGAGGACGTGTTTTGCACAGTTCTTGGTGTCGAGTGGCGGAGTTGCCGGGATGCGAAAAGTAACCTGGCCGAGTGGATGGCCGGGTTTCCAGAGTCCTGCAATCACATCTGCCGTCGATGGCATCTTCCTGGACTTCCCGTCCGAACCGTCGCGCCTCCGCCGACTCGGGAAAACATCGAGGAGGACGAGCCATGTGAGATTCTCTGGCACCCCCGGCACCGCGAGTGGAGCTGTGATGGAGGATGTCTGAGCGTCCAGGTCGTTAACCAGACAGTCGCGGGCTTGGTGACGGGCCACTGTTCGTTGACGAATCAGGACTTCAGGCCCCTTTTTGTTCGCACTTGCCGGCTCATCGCCCGCATTTTCAACATTGGTTTGAAACCCAGGGCACCTGCAGGAGACCTCGTGGAGCGGCGCCCCCGGCGGCACAATTCCATTGCCGACCAAATCGCCAGCCAGTGCATCAGAAACAAGGGTTCCATAGACAGAACTTTCGCGGTGCTTTGCGGGCCCTCGGAGTGGAACCGCTCAAACTGGTTGTTGTGCGTGGACGGCGGATTCGCCCGAGGAGTTGGAGGAGCAACAGGTATGGTCTTGTTCAGGATCTTACCAGACGGGGACAAGCAGAGAGTAGCAGATTTCGGCTGGTTTCTTCCAAGGTGCCGATCCGCATTTGAGGCAGAGGCTATTGCATTAGAGAGCGCATTGAGTCCGCTGCATCGCGCAGTTCTCTCGGGGCAGTAGAACCGGCAGCCTAGGGGCGCAAGCCGCTCGAGAAGAAGAAGAGAGGACCTTGCCGACCGTCGAGCACAACCCACTGGCGACACGACCCTTGGGAACACCCAGCATCCTCGGTTTCCAACAGACTCTGCGACGGCCAGTCGCCTCCATTGGGAAGAGTGCGAAGATAGTCGCGGGTCGCAGGAGGAAGGGGGGCCCCCCGCTGGGGAGGAGCTTCGTTGGCACAGTCAGGGTTGGCATAGCCAGGGTTGGTACAGTTATGTTTGGCATAGTCAGCGCGGTCGGACATGGCACAGCCACGATTGGCATAGTCAACAACAACTGCTCGCGTAAATGTTATACCGTTATTTCTCTCTCCTCTCACACTGTGTGCCTGGCGTGCAGTTCTTCCCTTCCCCTCCTGCATCCTAATGCTGCAGCGGTTAGCTGCCGCAGCGGGGTGCCGACCGTGCCTGCCTTGCACTTTCCCCCTTCTCCTTTGTTCCACCGGGTTTATCCCGCGCGGCTGGGGATGCCGCCAATACCGCTGTCTGATGATGCTCTGACAGCCTGAATTCCGCGCAAGGCTTACACTGGGAATGGGCGGTCAGCGACCGAAAAAGTTCAGTGGGGTATCGCTACGAACTCCATGCAAGGATCACAGTGGGAATGGGCGGTCAGGTGGCCCCTGGCCTGCTCCTGGCTGGTGTCGGCCTCCACTTGTGACCGGAAGGGTTCAGTGGGGTCTCGCTACGCTGCAGACCACCGCGGTGCATAAACTTCGGCATGTGTGGCACTGTGCGCCCGTCGTTTGCTTTCTCCTGTAAGGACTCCGTTTTCGACATGTGCCACTGCTGCAACGCCAGAGGTACTGCCGTTTGTAGTCCTCTCTGTGACGAGGTTGCCCCTCTTCACTCCTGCGCTGACACGATGTTTCACTGACACGATGCATTTTTTGTCGCCTACAGCACGGACGTCGTCTGGGTGTGCCTGTCGGTCCTGTTCGTATCCTGACGGCGCCTGCCGACTCGCACCGTTTGATTGGACCTCTTGCGTGTTTATGGTAGCGCCGCCGCGCCATTTTGGCTGCGCTTACTTGCTGGTCGCCACCGAGATTTCCACGCCACCAGGTTGGGAGTTTCGTTTCTGGCTTTCCTTCTGAGTGGTTGCCCGCGCGCTCGCTTCGTTTGCTTCTCTCTTCTCGTGTTGCCTGGTCGCGGTCCGGCTCATGTTCGGACGGCTTTCGACCTGTTTCGCGAGCCCGCATACCAAAATTAACCCCACCAGGGGGGGGGCCCAGTGACGGGCACGGGAAGCCGAAGCCGAGTTGCGAGGATGTCTTGGGCGAAGCGGGCCGGACCCACCTCTCGCGCGGCATTTCGGAGCCCAGAGTTGCGAGCATGTCTCAAACGAAACGGTATGGACTCCTTCAGGATCCGTTGAGGCTTTGCACGGGCGCCCGCTCCTCCACCGGCGGCGATCAATGGGCAATTGGTGGCCGATGCATATCCCCTTGAGCCTATGTATCCCACCCTGTCCTTGCCCCCTGGCCTTCGGGCCACAACTCGGTGTCCTGCCGCCGTTCGGGACGATCCGGGCCTTCCAGGACGTTCTCGATTTGGCGCGGCTGCTGGAAGACATGCTGTTGGGGCTGGAACGCCGATGGGACATGACGAGGATGCACGAGATTCTCGAGCCTATAGGATACCCCCCCTACCACAAGCTCGGATGTTGCCAAAGGTGCCCCTTTGCCAGAGTTGCTCCCAGCATCTCGCCAAGTCTGGGAGCCCTGGGCCAACCCCGTGGACCCCATGGGGGGTGCTCTGGGGGCCGCGGGGGCCTCCCCGGAAATCCCGGGGAGGACCCTGACCCAGGCACCCGATCAAGTCAGCACAGTTGTTCGGGGAAGATCGCGTCGTTGCAGATCTCGGCCTGCGTGCCGCCCACGAGGCCCCAGGCGCCCGCCGCGGTCCCCCCGCGGCGCCCTGCGGCGCGCGGCCGTGCGCCCGGCGAGGCGGGCGCCGCCGACGCTGGCGAGGCCGAGGGTTCCATGAAGGCTTGACGGCTCTTTCAAGGCTTCCCAGATGGGGTCGGACCGAGGTATAAGATCGAGGGCAGTTCGGGAGGTGTACCCTACTGTTCTTGGCGTTTGCTGGGTGTTTAGTGCATCTTGAAGGAGGTGCCCTCGAATGTTCTGCGGTTTGGCTGGCGGAGGGCCTCATGTTCCTGAAGGATGCTCTTTTGTCCCAGGTCCGACTGTACTCCGAGGTTCTAGGTCTCGCAGATGGGGTCTGAGTAGATGGGGTCGGAGGATCGCGCCGCATCGCCGATGCATCGCCGGAGCACTATGAGGTCGGATTGCACATGGGGTCGGATGGGCGCATCGCTGATCCCAGATGGGGTCGGAGTACCATATCTTATGTGAGAAAAATCCGCCGACCCCTTGGGGATCATCGGCGTGTGAGATTTTTCCCCCTCCCCAAACCCCTCCCCCGGGAGCCTGGTCCGGTCGATTTGGATGGGGGGGGGGTGCCTGGCCGGATTCCCCGGCGCGGCCCGGGGGGGGTCAACCGCTCCAGAGAGTCTGCTGGGGGGGCCGAAAACGAGCCAAGAGGCTCCCAAGAAGCTCCCAAGACGGTCCAAGAGGCCCCGAGACGCTCAAGATGGCCTCCAGACGGCCCAAGATGCCGCCAAGACGCTCCAAGAGGCTTCCAAGAGGCCTCCCAAGAGGGCTCCAAGAGGCCAAAATCGCTGATTTTCATTAGTTTTTCCGAGGTTCTTGGCCTTTTAGTTTTTTTGCGTTTTCCTACGCTCCAAGACGGCGCAGGAGGCCCCCAAGACGGCCCCAAAACGACCGAAGAGGCCCCCAAGTGGGCCCCAAGACGGCTCAAGAGGGCGTCAGGACGGCCCAAGAGGACTTCAAGACAGCCCAAGAGGGGCCCAAGACAGGCTCCAGACGGAGACCACGAACCTAAATCCCACCAGCCCTCTGGGCGTCGGTGGTTTAGGGCGTTTCCTCTTCCACCCCTCCCTCTTCCCCTTCGGGGAGGGGTTTACCCCTCCCCCTACCCCCTCCCCACTAACCTGGACAGGAGGGGCGGGGAGCGGTCAGAGCGTCCAAAACGGCCTCGGCGAGGAAGCCAAAATCATTGATTTTACTATGGTTTTGGCCCCATTTTGGCCTTCTGAGGGGGCAGGGCTAATTAAAGCTCCCCTCTTCTTTGATCGATTTCCTCCACGATGGCCGCAAGAGGCCCCCAGGATGCCCCAAGAGGCCGCAGGATGGCCCCAAGATGGCCCCAAGAGGCCCCCCAAGAGGCCCCCAGGAGGCCCCCAAGAGACCCCCAAGAGGCCCCAAGAGACCCCCCAGAGGCACCCAAGGTGCTCCCAGAGGCCCCAAGATGGCCCCAAGAGGCCCCAAGAGGCCCCCAGGAGGCCCCAAAGAGGATCCCGAACGGCCCACAGAGGCCCCCCCGAGGCACCCAAGACGCCGAAAAGCCCCTCAGGACGACCCTCTACTCGCCTGGGCGTCGTTTCTGGACGGGCTGGTGGGGATACGCGAAGCGTCTAGAATTTCTACCTCTCCGGCCCAAAAGGCAACCAGGAGGCCCCAAGAGGCCCCCAAGAGGCCCCAAGAGGCCCCCATGAGGCCCCCAAGAAGCCCAAAAGAGACCCCAAGAGACTCCAAACTGCTTCTCGTAGGCCTCCGAGAGGATTTTCACGATGGCGCCCTTCCGTCGCCGCCCTCGTCTTTCGCGTCGTGTTTGCCTGCTGTTTTTCACCCTCGTCTGTCGCCCCGTCTTCCCCCCCCCCCTCAGCTTTCTGTGTCATCTTCCCTCCACCACCTCACCTTCCACCCTCTCCGCCTTTTGCTCCTCGGCCCAAGACAGCCCAAGAGGCGGCCAAGACGGCCCAAAAGAGCCACACAACGCCGCAGGAAGCACCAACAGGCCTCTAAGAGGCACCAAGAGGCCACCAAGAGGCGCACACGAGGCCGAACGAGACACCTCTGAGTGAGGCACAAAATATGCTTCAAAACGGGCTCCCAAAGGCACCGACACCGACACCATGAGCGAAGGCGACGCGCCGCGAGCCCCCCCAAGGGGTCGGCGGTGTGGCGTAAGCCCAAGAATCCACGTCTGGAAGTGACGTGTTGCCGGAGGCAGGTCCGCGGATGCTGTAATGCAACGGATCCAATGTGTCCAATGATTGCATAATTGCTACATATTGTATTGTATTACATTATTACGTCTCCCCCCCTAACCCCCCCCTGGAGTCGCGCCACAGCGCCGTACCAAACTGGCGGCCCCCCTTTTGGGGCCCCAAAACGTACCAAAACGTATGGGAAATCAATGATTTCGGCACATTGGCCCTCTTGGGGGTCTCAACGGGCCCCAAGACGGCTCCAGATGGCCCCAAGACGGCCCAAGACGGCCCTAAGACGGCCCGAGATGGCCCCAAGAGGGCCCAAAAAGAACCCAAGACGGCCCAAGAGGGCTCCAAGAGCGCCCACAAGAGCGCCTCCAGAGGCCAAAAACATTGATTTTCCTTACGTTTTTGAAAGATTTTAGCTTTCTCGCCTTTTTCGCCTCTCCGAAGCCCATGACGGCCCGAGCAGCCTCCAAGATGGCCCCAAGAAGGCCCAAGAAACACCCAAGGGGGCCCCAAGACGGCCCCAGAGGGCCACAAGACGGCCCAAAGAGGCCCCCAAGACGGTCCAAGAAACCCCTGAGACGGCCCAAGAGGACCCCAAGAGGGCCCCAAGGCGGCCGCGAGAGGCCCCCAAGACGGCCTCCGAAGGGGCGAAACGGCGCGAAAGCGCCCCAAGACGGCCCAAGACGCCCCCAAGAGGCCCCAAGAGGCCACCAAGAGGCCCCCAAATGGCCCCAAAAAGCCCCCCAGAGACCTCCGAAAAGTCCCCAAGAAGCCTCCAAAAGGCCCCAAAGAAGCCCCCCAAAGGCCACATAGCGACTGGAGTGTAATATTATTTCCCCCCCTGGACGAACTGCGGCGCAGCGCCAGCCAGGTGGAAGTTGGTCACGGCGGCGCCCATGATTAGAGCCAGCGCTGGAAGGGAAGATGGGGAGGGAGTCAAAAAAGGGGGGAAGAGGCCAGAAGAAGTCCCCAAGAGGCCCAAAGAAGCTCCCAAGAGGCCTCCAGGAGGCCCCCAAGAGGCTCCCAGAAGGCCCCGCGACGTGACTGTACGTGCTCCGGACGTGCACCCCGCGAAGCGAGAGGAATCATGTGGAGGCTTGTCCAAGGCAGGTTGCCCGGTAGGGTTGTCCAGATCCTCGCTGGGTTTTCTAAGTGGCTGTCCATGGTAGGCAGTCTTGTCGTCATTCAGCAGCGTGGGTTGTCCAGGTTGTCCAGGGGGTTGTCCGTTTTTTTACCGAACAGTTTTTGCTGATAGGCTTCTAGTGGGATCAAAAGAGAGCATCTTGACGCCCCAGGGGGTCTGGGCGGAATCCAGACAAGGAACCGGACAAAAGTGCAGCCCCAGGAATCCTTAGGAATTCTTAGGAATCCCAGAACACCATTCCCAGGCCACATTTTGAATGCCCGGAGCCAACTATAGGCCACTTCGTGTTCTTCGTGTTCCCAGAATGCAATTCCCAGGCCACATGTTAAATGCCCGGAGCCAACTGTAGACCACTTCGTGTTCTTCGTGCTCGCAGAACAGCATTCCCAGGCGACATTTTGAATGCCCAGAGCCAACTGTAGGCCACTTCGTGTTCTTCGTCTTCCCAGAACACCATTCCCAGGCCACATGTTGAATGCCCGGAGCCAATTGTAGGCCACTTCGTGTTCTTCGTGTTCCCAGAACACCATTATCAGGCCACATGTTGAATGCCTGGAGCCAACTGTAGGCCACTTCGTGTTCTTCGTGCTCCCGGAACAATACTCCTGTACAATATTCTGATTGCCCGGAACCCACACTGGGCCTTTTCGTGATCTTCGTCTTCCCAGAACATCAGTCCTGTACCATATTTTGAATGCCCGAGCTGAGGCAGGCTGAGGCCGAGGCAGGCTGAGGCCGAGGCAGGCTGAGGCTGCGGCTGAGGCACGCCGAGGCAGGCTGAGGCTGAGGCTGAGGCAGGCTGAGGCTGAGGCAGGCTGAGGCTGAGGCTGACGCAGGCTGAGGCCGAGGCAGGCTGAAGTTGAGGCTGAGGCAGGCTCTGAGGCAGGCTGAGGCAGAGGCAGCTGTTCTGATGGCTGGGCAGGCTTTAGCTAGAAGGCTGAGGCTGATGCAGGCTGAAGGCTGAGAGGCAGACGCAGATGGCTGAGGCAGCTAATGCTGAGGCTCAGGCCGAGGCAGGCTGAGGCTGAGGCTGAGGCAAGCCGAGGCAGGCTGAGGCTGAGGCTGAAGCTGAGGCAGGCTGAGGCTGAGGCTGAGGCTGTGGCTGAGGTTGAGGCAAGCTGCGGCTGAGGCAGGCTGAGGCTGAGGCTGATGCAGGCTGAGGCTGAGGCAGGCTGAGGCTGAGGCTGAGGC